GAGGGAAGGGAGGGCTGCTGTAGTGTACCCTCTCCCCTCCACTGCAGGCATGTGCCTGCATTTCTAAGATGTCTTAGAAACTAATTTAGCCTAGCCAGGTTAGACTAACCTGCAAAGATTGAATCAATTCAGGCTTTTTTGAATGTCTGTCCCCAGTCTTGGTATTTGGGTTTGTGAGATTTTACATTGAAAACATTTGGTGCCTTGATTTAAAATCAGTATCTTTCTTGTTAGACCTCACAAGCTGCATTTTTGCCTTTTAAATAATGTTTCATACACATTTACCTGCTGTACAACTAAAAAGTACAATCGCCATTTTTTTCTATTTACCTGTGTCATTTTTACCTTTGGGGTATGCATGTTTCAAGTTTGTGCCTCAGAAGGAAGAGAGTCTGTTGTTATTCAAATAGATTTACAAATGTATGGGAACACTGGCCTTCTGCACCATTGCTTCATAAATAAATTATATATGTATGAAGCACAGAACTGTTTGCAACCTACAAATTTGTTTTAAATATAAAATAGCAATAAAACTATTTTATTGTGATCTTATAATCATCTTGGAAGATGGCATCCAGTACTATATGAAAATCTTAGCTGAATTTCCAAATAGCACTTTTTTTTACTTGAAGCATAGATTCTTCAATTCCGTGTGATTAGAAATAGATAATTTTAAAATGCAGGCCCTTAATTGCTGGTAATTATAGAGGAAAAAGAGATGCTCCTTAACTATAACAGTATCTGAGATACTGGAAGCATATTTATTTATTCTTGTGAGGCACCTTGCTGCAATGTGTAATAGTTTACTCAGTTAATCTTTCATCTATTTTCTGCACTCCCCCCCCTTATTTTCCCTCATTTTACAAATTTAAAACTGCATTAAAATTCATAGCTTCAGTTGTGCTTAATTCACAGACTAGAGTCTTGTCTTATTTACACTTCAAGGTTTGAGACATGGCTTTTTGTGTAATACTAAACAGTAAATATGCCCAAGCTTTACTGAGGCAATTGGCTTGCTTTAGTTAACTTTTACCAAACTTCCTTTTAAAAAAAACAAACCCATTTCTTTCATTTTTTGTGAGTTTTATGTCCACACATTTCCTTATGGGAAATTCACTTTACAAACCTACTCTGCTTGTATGGTTCCCACTATATCAGCCACTGTCAAGAAGAAAGAATTCTGTTTCAGTCCATGGAACAAGGTAACATTTTTCCAAAGCTCTTAACTTAAGTCCTGTTTTCAAAGGACTTTGAAAGGGATGGCAAGGAGGCAGAAGGAAGCCACACATGCGGCCCTTCCCCTCCAGCCTCCTTTAAGAGGATTTCTGGAGTGCAGCATGTGTTGAAGTCCTTAGAGCCTGCAGAGGCACCGTCTTTCAGCCCAGATCCACCTGCCTTGGTCTTGTTGGGAGCCAGGGACTGGAGGCTCCTTCTCTCTGTGAGCATTTCACTGCTTTGGGACTAGGTTCATTGATTCATAGATAGTTAGGGGCTGGAAGGGACCTTGTAGATTATCAGGTCCAGTCCCTCTACACTAGTCAGGAAAAGACAACTGGGGTCAAGTGACCCCAGCAAGGTGACTGTCCAGTCTCCTTTTGAAGATTTCCAGGATAGGTGACTGTACCACCACTGGAGGGGGTTTATTCCACAGTCTGGACACCCTGACTGTGAAGGAGTTTTTTCTGGAGATGAGCCTGAAGTGGCCTTCCAGGAGTTTGTATCCATTGCTCCTGGTCTTCCTCAGGGGTGCCCTGGTGAACAGCTGTTCGCTGAGTTCTAGATGTATTCCTGTGATGTAGCGGTAAGCCTCTATCAAGTCCCTTTTCAGCCTTCTGTTCTGTAGGCTGAAGAGGCCCAAGTTCCTCAGCCTCTCCTTGTATGGCTTGTCTTGAAAGTCCATGCAGGTGGCTCTTCTCTAGACCCTCTCAAGTTTTTCCACATCCTTGTTGAAGTGCAGCACCCAGAACTGGACACAGTACTCCAGCTGTGGTCTCACCAGTGCGGAGTACAATGGGAGTATCACTTCCTTAGTTTTACATGAGATGCAATGGTTAATGCGTGCCAGTGTGTTGTTTGCCCTGCTGGCCACGGTATTGCACTGCCAGTTCATGTTCATGCGATGGACGATCACTATCCCTAGGTTGCTTTCAGCTGTGGTGCAAGTCAGATTGTCACCACTGAGCCTGTAGGTTTGTTGGGAATTGTTTGCCCCCAGATGGAGCACCTTGCACTTCTGTGTTGAACTTCCTCTGGTTCTGGTCTACCCAACTCTTGATCCTGCCCAGGTCCACCTGCATTTGCAACCTATCTTCTGGCATAGCCACGCTCCCCCATAACTTGGTGTCATCTGCAGACTTTGCTAGCGAGCTTTTCACCTCCACATCCAAATCATTGATAAAGATGTTGAAAAGCATTGGTCCAAGCACAGACCCCTGAGGGACACAACTGGCTACCTCTTGCCAAGACAGCACAGATCTGTTCATGAGAACTCTCTGGGTTCTGCCATGCAGCCAGTTTTCCATCCCCTGAACTGTTGAGCAGTTAAGCCCACAATGTTTGACAAGGATATTGTGGGATACTAGATCAAAAGCCTTTTGGAAGTCTAGGTATATAATGCTGACCTTCTCTCCCATGTCCAGGTGATGAGAGACCTGTTCATAGGAGGAGATGAGATTGGTAAGACAAGACCTACCCACGTCAAAGCCATGCTGGCTTGCACTCAGAATCTTACCCTCAGTGAGCGTATTGCACATAGATTCTTTAATGAGTTTTTTCAGGATTTTCCCTGGGATGGAGGTTAGGCTGATTGGCCTATAGTTGTCCGGGTCCTCCCTCTTCCCCTTCTTGAAGATGGACACAATATTGGCTGTCTTCCAATCCTCAGGGATCTTCCCTGAGCACCACAGTTTTTGAAAGAGTTTCACCAGCGGTTCCACGATGACTTCAGCCAGTTCCATCATCACTCGGGTGAAGTCCATCTGGTCCTGCTGACTTATAAATGTCTAGCTTTTCTAGGTGGTTTTGCACCAGCTCAGCATCCACAGTGGGAAGGCTGTCATTCCCACCATGCCCCCTGTGATCCTTATCTCATTTGTCTTTCCCCTTGGTCCAGTGAAATACTGAAGCAAAGTGGGAGTTCAGCTTTTTCCTGAGTGTCCATTACCACTTGTCCCAAAGTGTTAAGCAGAGGCCACTTGCTTTCATTTGTTTTCCTCCTCCTCCCTACATACCTAAAGAAGGGCTTCTTATTGTCCTTGACTCCCTTGGCTAACTTAAACTCAGTTGCTGCCTTAGCTTTCCTTCTTACATTCTCGCAATGCGAGGCTACATTCTTGCAGTCTCAAAGGAGTGACATGCTCCCAATGAGAAGCACTACCAACACCTGACTCCCAGCAAGACCAAGGCAGGTGGGTCTGTGTTGAAAGAAGCTGCTTCTGCTAGCTCAGAGAACTCCAACACATGCCACATTCCAGAAATACTCTTCAAGGAGGCTGGAGAGGAAGGGCTGTATGTGTGGCTTCCTCCTCCCTCTTCTCTGCTCCCTTCCTGCAGACAGCCCTGGGGGCAGGGTAGGGTTGCATCAGTCCAGCCCCGAATGCATGATAAATAAACCCTGGGAAACCCAAGTTCCCTAAGACTATCTAAAGTAGAGTGCCTTCATCTAATACCTCGTTTGATGAGGGTTAGATCTTTTTGCATGATTAGCCACTTTAAAGCGCTCTGCCGTCATGAATGTGTATCACTGCATGGCTGTAGAGTGCTTTCAGGAGGCCAGTCACAGAAAAAATGTAACTTCTGTCTGCTCCCTATTATGTCAGAGGCTTATATAGCAGCAAGCAATTATTTATGCCCATAGGACCAGACTGTCTGTTCTCTTCTTCTAAGTCTAAATGCCAGCAATTCAACACAGACCTCAGGTATAGATTCTTATTTCCTCAATAGATAAAGAGGTATTTTCATTTTGGGTCTAGAGAATCCAGAGGTTGTTGACCCTAGGATGGCCTTGTTGTGTATTTGGGTATATTCTCTGCATCACAAGTTCCTTCTGTCTAGACATAAATCTCCACTATTGTTAGCTCCTAAGTTTCTTCATTAACTCTTGATATCAGATGAGAATCATTCTAAAATGATGGATTTATTTGAAAGGATTCTGTATATGTGCATTTGGAGTAGTCAGTGCTGTTTGTTAAATATTATACTAACTGCACTTCATGGCAGAGTTCATGGACAGGCTTTTACTAATGCCCAACCAGAATTCAAGGTTTTGGCATCTGTGCTGGCAGCTGGCTTCCAGACCTATTCAGAACTTGAATAGATTAGTGTCTTGACCTGGAAGCTGATAAATAGTTCTTAATTGACATGTGATTAGATAGTACCTGGAATAATGGCTAGATACAGAGATTCTAAAAACCCAAGGCAGATTTGATCTAAGTTGTGCAGTTTTCTGTAAGTGATGTAGGTTAGATTAGTAGCAAACAGAACACTTATTAGCACTTGCGGGGGAGCAGATCTTAGACTGGGTTCTGCCACTTTTAAACCACTCTGTGTGCTGAACTTCTGTTCTGTTACTGGTATAGACAGGTTTTGTGTGCTGAACTTCTGTTCTGTTATGGATGTAGACTGGTTTCCAGTTGCTTCTATCATAAAAGCGTAATGTCTGTACCTGACCAATGTGATTTCATGATGCCGTCATTCTGGGTTTCCTAGTATAGATCTCATTTGCACCTATAGAAATAATCACAACCAATAACTTATCTGTAACTGTGGTTATTTCTACTGTAGAGATCCTGCACTTGTTCTCATTAATTAGTTTCCCTTCCTCCTGCACTGTGGTTTGTTCAGTGTAGTGTAGAATGGAAAGGGGACCAACAGTCTTCCAAAGCAGCATCAGTGTATGTTTATACTATCAGTATATGTTTATACTATATAATGAATACGTATTTCAGCCATCTCAGAGAATAAAATCATTTTTTGTAACTCCCTCTGTTTTTAACCCTCAGTAGTGCCTGTTCAAAGGTAAAGCAAACCATATACAGCAATGTGCAGCCTTCAAATTCCAACCTGTTATGGGATCCAGAGTTCATGTTGGATTTTATTGAGAATCCCTCTGCTCACAGCATCAACTACTCAATGCTAGGCAAGATCCTGAGTGATAATGCAGCTAATCGCTACAGCTTTGTCTGTAATTCACTTATGAATGTATGCATGGGGCATCAAGATGCAGGGAGGTAAGGTCAATTGTTTCAGAATTTGAGCTGTAAGTATTCTGGAAATAAGTGTTAGTGTGGCATTGGAATTAAGCATCTGGGTTATAATTTGATCCAGCTATGGGTTTTAATATGCATGTAATTGAAGTTCCCTCTCTTTACTTATTCCTGCTTCTTTTCCTCTTATGTACCACGTTAGGATAATCTTTGTAATTATTTGTATTGGAAGATGCATTCTTCCTGGGGCTTTTTCAGTGTTGCACTATTTTGTTATTTTAAATTCCCTTCAGCTAAATGGCATCAGGCTGGTTTGTACAAAGTTACAAGGATTAATAATAAATAGTAGCTATGAAGATGGCTTACCATAAATATTGACTTATTTGCATAAGTTGGAAGAGGTGGTTATGCTTTCCTGTAGGTTCCCTGATTTGATAGTAGACTGCTGCCATGGCACAATAATCTCTTCCTGAGAGTGTCTGATTTGAGGAGTGGTCAGTACCACACCCTTGGTATGCTATGTAGTTAAGTCATTAACCTATGGAACGCATCACAACAGGTTGGTGTTGAAGTTAAGAATTTAGCCATTTCAAAGGAGAGGTTGGGCACTTAAAACGATACAAGGAGAACTATAATTTTAATAGCTTACATCGAAATAACTAACAACTGGTTCCAAAAGTAAAATCTCTCACTTCAAATTTTAAACCCGTCTCTACCTAATGAATATCAGATAATCTCACTTCTGTTTTTTGTGAGGTTTCTTGCATAATCTTCTAAGGCGTCTGGTGATGGCAGCTGTCAGAGTTGAAGAATCATAGGTCTGATACAGTAGACCACTACTTACATTAGTTAGTCTCTGGATATCTTCTAAATGGAAGGTGCCTAAGACAGGAGGAGAAAATAGACTGAAATCCTTAACATATTTATTTTTCAAGTTGCTGAAAAGAAGACTGTATGAGGAGCGTAGCCGTGCCCAGCCTCTCTCTGAAGTTTCCTTCCAATAGATGGGTCAATGATAAGGCACCCATTGTCTTTCTCTTGGCAACTTTGCTGCCACTTCTTCCTCTTTTTGTTTGATACATTTTCCCTCTCCTGTCTTTTTTGCCTCTTCTGTTCTTCATCTCCTTGTCTCTCTTTCCCTTTCCGAGTTTAAAACTGGAATGCAGACTGGTATTATTTATGTAGAGAAGCTTCTGTCACTCTTATTATGCACTAAGCTGCTATGACCTAAATGCTTGTTGCTAAATCATTATCTCAGTGGTTTTTTTTCTTTTCTCTTCTAGAATTAACGATATAGCAAACCTCTGTGCAGAGCTGACAGCATGCTGCACAATGCTGAGCTCAGAATGGCTGGGGGTTCTGAAAGCTCTTTGTTGCTCTTCAAATCATGTCTGGGGTTTTAACGATCTGCTTTGCAGTGTGGATGTAAGTTCAGTATATTTTGAAAGAGAAATACTAGTTAACTCAGGTTCTTTGTAGAAGGCTTATACATAATATCTAAAAACTACATGTTGTTGGGTTAGATTTTAGAATTGTATCTGTCTTTTCAAAGTATCTCTTGAAAGTCCTGCATTTTGCTTCATGTTTTAAGAATTGAAGTAGTGTTTGGGCTGCATGTAGAGACATGTCCTTACTCAAACATATCATTTGTTTATTTATTTTCCCCCCCCAGTTAGAATACTGCAATGGTGTAAATTACTAGAGCTATCTGCTGGAAAGAAAGAATGTAAAATTAGGCACTGTTCAAATGACACAAGTGGTCTCACTTTTAAAATGCATGGCCAAGGGGCTTGTACATGACTTATAATGCTGCTGTTGTATTTCACTGATCCTCACTTGGGTAGTGTGAATTGTCCTAGTTTTATTGAAGTTAATGGGGTTATAACTTACACCAGTTTAGAGTCTGGCCTAATATGGATCCTGGTATTTTGGTCATAAATGTAAAGCTATCTGTATAGACCTTGGACTTCTCTTGCTGTATATTAGAAGCTAGGGAATGAGTGTATGTTATCAATTTCCATTTAAAGATAACAACTCCAACAATCAGTCCATTGAATTATTCAGGACAGTTCAACTCCAGAACACTTGGGGATGCATGCTGTGGGTGCCACATGGGCTCCCCAAGATCCCTGTTGTGTGCCTCTCCCTTCTCCACCATCTCCCAACCACTGCTTCTGTGCATGTAATGCAACCCTACAACCCATCTTCTTCTGCTTGTTATGTAGTCAGGGAGCTCACCCAGCCTTCCTACTGTGCTGTCCTGGCCCAGAGACCTCAGTTGCTACTGTTGCCACAGCAGCTGGAGCAACAAGGGCAGTGGTGGCCTCCTCTCTCAGTAACCCCTTGTGGGCCACCAGTTGGACAGCCCTGATATAATTAACTTTAAATAATGGAAGTTTGCCATCAAAAATATTTGGAAAATATATAAAAGAAGGAGTTTGCTTTTTTCTTTTCTTTTTTTATTTTACCCTTAGGAAAGAGGTCTGGCTTACCAGTGGTTAAGGAACTTGGCCAGTAATTACAACATTGCATGTGTGTATTATAATGTGAAAGCATTCCACTATTGTTTTTCTTTCAAGGTGAGTGACCTTTCATTCCATGATTCCCTGGCTACTTTCATTGCTATACTAATAGCTCGGCAGTGTTTTTCTCTGGAGGATGTGGTTCAGCATGTTGCGCTTCCTTCTCTTCTTGCAGCAGGTAAGTAAAAATCAATAGAAACATTGAGCACAAACCTGATTTGTGCTGTTTCATTTTTAGAAAGTTCTTCTGTGTTTGCAGAACTTAACAGTGCATTCTGGAACTGTTTTCTGATATGGAGCACTGGCTATAGCACATGGTAGTGTGCATTTGGAACAGTCTGTTTCCATAAGTATTGATGTCCTGAGAATCAGCAATTTGGCTTTTTGTTAAAGAGTATAAACTTCATATCAAGTGCATTCCACTTTTTTATCCTGTCATCCAACCTACTGTCTCCTACATGAGCAACACATTCAGATAATTGCAAAATTCTTTCAGTTCTTCCCATCAAAAATCCAACCCTTTTTCCAGCTCTCTCAGCTCAATAAGTTCATCTATGCCTTGGTTACTTGCAGTCTCCATTATATACACTTGCCGTAGGTCTTCCTTGCCTCTGTACCCCCTACCTCTCCGATTAGCAGTCCATTGAATACAACCCTCTTCCTCATCCACATCACAAACTCTTTGGAATTCTTCCACTGACTTTCTCTCCCCTTTGATCTCAGGTCTGTCCTTCTTCTCCTTGTTTTAAATACCCTGTGCCAGCTTCACCTTTCCTGTCTTCTTTTCTGCATTCATTTGACCATACTTCTTTTGTTTTTCCAGCCCTCAAATTATTTTCATTAATAAAGTACATGCTGCATATTTGCAATCATTTCACTGTCCCTATCCACCAAACCTACATATATTTTTTCCTTCAAAAAACCTGACACAAACATTTTGCAAGGCCTATAAATGATGACTCCATCAAATTAGATGCTCCAGTTGCATTTAAAATATGACCATGCAAGATAAATTTTTCTTCTGGATCTTCCAGTGAATTGTGTGTTTGATTTGTAAGATAGTGTGGTGGAGACCTTATTTCGGTGTCCTGTTTTCCATAGCTTGTGGGGATCCAGATGCTGAACCTGGGGCAAGAATGACTTGTCGACTTCTG